TAGGAATTAAACCACTTTACAAATGAGTAACTTTCCTATCGTTTTGTTATCTGAAACCATCTTTGCTATAATATTCTCCGAGTGGTATACAAAATGTAGCAGATTCAGTACAGTCCATATGCATTAGCACTGTTCCTTAACAAATTACTTTCAACTGCATGAAACATTAGTGTTCTGATTAAGATAAAGTGCCTAATTAAAAAAAATGAAATTCTTGGATTGAATAGGAGGTTTTTATCGGCTTTTTAAGACAGAGTATAGCCATATTTCATTAAGATAAAAACATTAATCAGCTGTCTTAAAAGCCAGCTTTATGAAGATAGGAGTTTCAACCACAATTTGTATGAATTTCCTCAAGAAGCCCAGACTCATTTCTTGCCCATGAATGGCTTTGGTGCCCCTCTCCTTCACCGTCAGTTCAAGTCATGCGACTCCACAAAGACTGGAGGGATTCTGATTCCTATCTTAGGAACCTATTGGGTATTAATGGCAGATCCCCATTTCTTATGTCAACTTATAATGCGCCATCGTGCTGTCATGTAATGATATAGTGTGCTGTGACTGGCTGTCATGTGATCAGCAAGCACTAAGAAAGAGCCTGAGCTTGTTATCCAAGTTACAGATTTCAGCCTGTCTGTGTGTGCCAGCAAGAGTGACAGTGACTTAGAAAAAACGAATAGAGGGGCCAAATGGCCTACTTTTGTTTGTATCTTGCCCTCAAGATTTACAAGCCTGGAACTGTAGGAGTGGTTGAAAGATGATGACGGGGCCTTACAAAACTGGAATTGTATTGGTGGTTGGAACGGAAAGCCAGTCCTCCCCAGAATTGATTTGAAGTACCCCATGCTTGGATGTCCATCTACATGATAAGAGATGATCTACTGGAATGTCTAACAACCTGGTTGCAAGTAGAAACATCATTATCACCTGTATCACTTATACACTCCGCCATGCAGTCCGGCTCCAGATCTAAACCCTCCTCAGGTGTCCAGTGTCCAAGCTGCACAGCCAGACAAGGGAGAAACCCAACATGCCGAAAAGGCTGGGCAAGAGGTGAGATTCAAGTATGTTCAGTATACAGTAACTTGCACTTCATTCCTTATTTTATATTTCCATAATTATTTTGCAGTACCGTGCATGTGTTTCCCGTGAAGATTTCCACTGCGAGTGAATATTATTTTTCAGTGGTGCAGCTAGATCCTAATGAAGGCAGCAGAGGGATGGAGTATGTAGGTCTTAGTTGGCGTGGCTGGACTAGCTGATGGGATGGCAGCCTAGCTGGGAGCTTTTCTATTGAAAAATAAAAATAATAACAAGACAAGGTAATGTGGTTTTCAAAGCTTTAATAATAATTTAAAAAAAAACAGACCCAAAAAATATGAGGGCCGCCAGACAACCAGCTCAAGAATAGTATATTCTAGTGGATTCAGTTCTATCCTGAAAACCAAGTGTTCCAACCAGAATCATGTGTGATTTTTTACTGTAAGTGGATGTTTTCTACAGTCCAATTATTGAATAATGGAGTATGTTAGGGCTTTCCATGATACCAAAAGTATTCATAATAGTTGACGAGTTAACAAAAAGGAGTGTTATTTTATCACAAATACCAAATTGCTTAAATTTATTCCCTCTAAAAAAAAAACATGCACAACGTCAGTCTGAAAATGTAAAACCTTGAATCAAAGTTTATTTAGCCAAGAAATAAATTATTATTTTTTCAGAGGTGCCCGAAATAACCCCTAAAGTTCTCCTCAAATGTCCAATAGTAGTTTCAAACAGGAAATCATTTAAATAACTTTTCTTTGTATCTTCATCAGTACGATTCATTATCAGATGAAGGATGTTCTAAGAGAACTTCTGTCTTTGGCTACCCTTATCAGACTTGCTCCTGTAATGGTCTGTTTATTGTTGTATGATGCAAGCTAAAATATTCTCACAAACATTGGGAACTTTTTAAGTCCTCAGCTCTATCTAGGACACCAGGGCCAGAGGACTCAAAACAACTCAAAAGAAGAACAGATCCTTGTCTGTTATTCACAGAAGGAATGGTGTTCTTATTTAATATACTAGATGAAACTGTTCAGAAAGTCAAATTGTGTTTCATCCAACCACATCATGTGGTCTCATTTGAGATTGGAGCTGTTTGACATAATGCATTTTTTGTTGTTTTATGCTACTCAAAGCCGTAAAATCTAAGTTTTATTTAGAAGTTTTTTTGAGGATCTCTAATGGTTACTTATTATAGGTGGGAGTAAGCATCCCAAACTACTTCTTTTTAATGCACATAACAATTTAAAACATCCTTTTGGTGGATTAGCCTTGAACTTTACAGTATAAAGATGGACACAATAGGTGAAAATGGCATGTCTGATGGATTTCCTGCAGTGGACTATGGATTTTCCTGTCACATACTGTAAGTTACTGAGCTTCATAACCTTTTACCTTTGATCTTTGAACAATATCTGACTTTCTCCATGATGACATGGTGCTGAGTTTTACTTCAGTGTTTAGCTTCCATAGAAACAATCAAGGAGAAGCCCAGAAATATCTGAGGTTTCGTGAAGCTATTGGCTGCACACATAAGAGAATCAAATTAACAGCATTTATTTTCAACACATTTACAGGAAATGTGAAGGTTATACGAATAAATCTGAACATTTTGCAACAAAACATATTTTATAATTTTTTACAGTTACACATTATATATAATCAATACTTTTCATACACTTTAATCACTTTTTAATTAATAAATGTTTGAAATTCTTGATGTACCAAAGGAAAATGTAACTTCCCAAAGGAAAATGTAACAAGATTGCTTTCTGCAATCACAATTGTAGATCTTCAAGGTCTCTGGCTCCCTATTCTGGTCCTGGGCCTTCTGTTTTTTCAGGAATTTTTAATCGAAAACTAATTGGTTTCATGGTTTCAAGGAATGTTATAATTTGCTTTTATCTCTTCAATCAAATGTCACTGTGACTGGTATGAACCCTGTACCAATTTCTGAGTTTCAGAACTTATCTCATTCAGGTTTTTCAGCTAATATTTAACCCACTAGACCACAGCAAAAGAGAAACCACTCACTGAGGGAGTGTCTGACACATTCAAATTTCCCCATCTGTGTCTGCTCATCGTGAATTGATCACTAGTTTCGGCAGAAAAAAGGGAGCCACTTCTTAATACACACATTGGGAACAAGGCTGAATTAAGTTCTGTATATTGAATTTGGTGGAATAATACTTTGCATAGAATATTTCTAGGTGCAGAAACAGGAAACCGAGAATCTAAATCAGCAGATCTCGGCTGGAATGAAAAGCAGCAGACACAGAGATCTCCAGGACGGGCCGTGGGAACACCTGCTCTAGGTATTTTTATAACACAACATTAAGCATTAATATTCCTTTCTGTTGATCTGTTTATCAATCCAGTCCACATCACCTGTAAATGCATATGTGTGTTGCCTCCAATCTACATTTCCATCCTCCTGTATCTCTTCAATATCTAGTAACTTATGATGGAGAAGACAGTCAGTTATCAGGAGACTTAATTATTTTTCTAATTTAAATTAGGGGTATTCCATCTGTGTGACTTGTCACAGATGAGATAATAGCATTTCAGTCTTCTTCTTCCGATACATTTACACTTCTGATTGTCCCCCCTTTTTTTATTTGTGTGATACGCACACTGTAGCTACAGCACCAATACTTGCAGTACTTGGGTGTATCAATATTTCCCTTAAATGCTATCTAGGAGAGATGATAACTTACTTACATTGCTTCATTTTCTTGTTCTCTCTCTGTCTATATATAAAAATGTTTTTCTTTTGATAGCTTTTGAAGCTATTGGAATCTACATGTAAAGTACAGTATGTTACCTGGGGAGGTAATGTACAGTATATTAAAGAGATGATAATGTTTTATCATCCATTGCATTCTACTAAGCTTACTATGGTAACTAACCGTATTTGAAAAATAAGAAATTAGCATAAGTTATTTTCGTTTTATTGCAGTTTTATCAAATCAGTGTAACCACTGGATAGTATTTTTTCTGAACACTGAAGTCTTTTTTCTGAATACTGAAGTCTTTTTTCGGAATACTACAAAACACTGCCACTACAAGCCATTGATCTCAGAAATGTAGAGACCTCCCACAGTGTGAGCTGTCTAGATTATTTCCTTGTCTGTGGGTCACTGGAACAATGGCTGAGCATCTGTGTCTAATAATAATAATAATAATAATAATAATAATTATTATTATTATTATTATTATTATTATTATTATTATTATTAGCGACCAAAAGGCACACCATGAGGCGATAAATGCTTGAAATTTTGGACAGTGGAGCCTCTTTTTTCAACTAAGCGTCCCACAGTTAAAGTTGTACAATGGTTATGCTATTGTTGGTGAGATGGAGCGAATAAAACTGTTAACTGTTTTAATTAAGGATATTTTTAAACAAAACAAATATGTTTCTATTAAAAGGCAGACTGATTTTCAGTGAATAAATTCGTGTTTCTGTGCAGTTAGCCTTTCTCATAAAAATATCCTCCCGCTGACACGGTTTTATGCTGAATAATCAAAAGTGGGATGCTATATGGTTTGAATTTCACATTTGTTTAAAATGAGCTCCGACAGCATTTATTTCAGTTTAGCTGTAGAGAAACGCTCACATTTGTGCGTTACAATATTTATCATAATACAAAAATATAATAAAATATTTACAACACACATTATTAGTATTATGCTTATTATTATTACATGCTTAAGGGCAGTCACTGATAAAAATACATGTAACAACTAAAATAGCCACATGGTGACAAACAATCTTGACATTGATATTTTGATTCCTTTGGTTCTTGAAACGGGGTTTTACTAGAAAATCCACATGAACAAAGTTTCTAACTGTCTGAAAATACATCTGTACATGCATCGGCGTTTCATATTTTCAGAAACCGCATGGGGCTTGTGTAAGAGGTCTCCTGGAGAAGGCGCACGTGTCCCAACTCATATTTCTTTCTCAAACCTCCTGCTTTGTATAAATACTAGCATATCAGCTTCTAGCTGCAATCCCGACTAGACCAGATCCGAAAAACCAGGGGGAGGAGAAGGAGAAAGGGAAAGAGGGCCACCGTTAAATTGCATTAAACATGCCATTCTCTCCTCTCTGGGTCTTAAACTGGATGTCTACTGGTCTTGTGCAAGTTTCGTACCAGACAACACGTGAAAAGATCTCCTCCTAAATTTGCCTTCCTTTTCGCAAGCGATTCCACCGAGTCAACTGATATTGATGCGTTTCTGAATTTTTAAATGATTGTCAGCCGTAGGAAACTCGGATACCCCCATGCATTTTAATTTGGGTCGAAGAAAGTCTGAAACTGCGCTTGAGCGACTACAAGATACCAAGACCGATTAAACTTTTTGAAAGGAAATATTGCGACTGCTTTTGGTCTCGGGATTGCTGAGATAGTGTAAAATGCACCTACTTGGATTATCTCTTTTTCTCGTCTATGCAGTGTTTCTTTACAGAGACTTCGCTTTTGAATCAGGTCATGATTATTACGACTATGATCAAGATCAAGGAGATACGAAGGTAAGCGTTTATTGCAGTTTGCCCTTTTCCACAAAACGTGGAAACATTCGTTAGCATTATCGGATGGTAATTTCGGTGTGTGAAAGTTTACCAGATGCTGCAACACTGCCAAAAAGGGAACAGACTAAAAAGATTACGAAGGTATTTACCACCTGGTAGACTATTTCGACATTTGGTTTGCGGAGACTTCACTCGGTGGCATGATGTTCCTGATGCTTCAAATTTGCGGTGAAAGTACAACTCTGGGTATTACTGTATATACTCAGAATATTATTATATAACGTTTTGTTTTTGGTAATCCGGTGTACGATGCACACTGATTACTCTTTTCTTAATGAGAAATGTCTCATCAGTCTGTGAATGAGCAACGCATCTGTTCATACCTGTAAAATCATCCTAGATCGGATTTGCGTGGTGTGGTGTTCACCGGGTAACAATGTTAAGTCAGAGGGAGCACAGAGGGAGCCGATGAAAGGCAGCGAAAGTTTTGAAGAAGCCGGATAAAAGGGGTGGGGAGGCAGGTGTCAGCAGGTCAAAACTCGAATGCGTGGGTGTGCTGTTTTGGGGGAAAAAATCTTAAGAAGGAATTTGTGACATGTGGCTGTCTAGTGTGATATGCGTATCATAGTTTCCTTTAAGATATCTTAAATTATATTAAGCTGTACGTTTTTCCCATGTTCGTACTCAGATTGTGTTTAAATATTCGAGATATTGCTCAGTAATTATAGACATTTTAGAAGCTTAATCAGAGTCAAAATGCGGTGCTGTTTCTGTTCGATTACTTACTGTACTGTATGTGTCGTTATCTGTTCACAGTTTTACGCGTTTCTGTACGTATTTGGTTTTGTGAGTTCAATTTAAAAAATAGCTCTCTTCTAGATTGCTGCTTCATACCAAACTTTGCCAATTTAAGACAAATGATAAGGGAATGAGCCTCAACAGCACGTTGTTAAATATTACTGCATGTCAATGGTGAGATTCTGTGAGAAGTTTGGCTTTTCTGTCCCTCCATCTCAATACAGAATACAGATGTAGAATTTCTTATGGTTGCAGTGTAAGATCTCATGTTAAATCAAGATGAATTTAAGGACAAATCATGTTTGGGATCTCAGAATTAGTGGTAGGCAGCACCAAATCTTGCAAGTTGTTTTTACCCTCTTAAAGCGTGGAGACAGTATACAGTATGAGTTACTCTTTTTAACATACAGTTGGTCGAATTAAGAACTTAATTCTGGAACTAATAAACCCACTACTGCTCGAGATACCGTACATTAAACTTTCCACATTGCAATCAAACTGGTTCCTATCAGAAACCCCTGAAGACTTGTACATTGATATATTAGCTTTATGTTTCAGGTCTCTGAATCTGTGAAAGGCTAGTCCTGCTTAGTTCTTGGATAAAACAATCCTTGAGGGGAAACAGGATGATGCTTCTTGTAGCCCTCTTATGAAGATAAACATAAAGCAGTTACTCAATGTGGTACAAGGGGGCGCCATGATGGTGCAGATGTCTGCTTAGATTACAGTGAGGTCCTGCCTGATCAGTAGGGGTTGAGACTTATTGACACTTTTTTCGTGCAGTAGAAGTCGTACTGATTTTGCTGTATTTATCAAAGGGAGTAAAAGTTTATAATGTTTGGCCTTTTTAATTTAGTAGCACATGCTCATCTTAGAAAGATGGCTTCTACTGTATAGTACACTTAATTATGGAATGGTTTCATCTGGATCATTGAGGAAACATTATTTGGGTTTCTTTGTTATTCGTTAGAACAGTGTGTAAGTATTTTTTGGTGTTTTAACATTCAAAACTTAGTTTTTAGTGTCCATTGCACTGGGCAGTAACAGATGTAGAAGACAACAAAGGGCAATACATGCAATAATAACAGAGGAGAATCCATTAAAGCATCAGGCCAAAAGTACAGTATATGCTTAAAAAGCAACAGTGCTGTTACACTTCTTTGTGGGGAATTGACTCACGGGTATACAGTATTATGATGCAAAAAGGAAACATTCTCCAGTTTTGACTTCTGTAATCTTAGTAGACTGAGACTACTTAGACTAAAATGTAACAGTGAAAGAGCTATGGGAGTGAGTGGTGTCTGGGCAGTTTGTTTTATTTTATTGTACATGAGCTCATCATGAGAGTCTGGGTCAAGAAGTTCATAGAACAGAGAGCCCTAAAATGTTTCACAGACATATCAATTTTCAGTTTAGTCTCCTTTGACCTCAATGCACTTGGCTTAGGTGTCCTTAAAACTGTATATGCCAACCAATGGGGTCCTTTAATATTACCCCTTGAACTAGGCCTCTGTGGAACACTTTGTGCTTTCGTCATCTGCAAACCATGAAGGAGAGCTCTCAGAGTTCAAAGCAGATAATAATTTCTTAGAAACAGATCTGTACTATAAGATAGGTATTCAAGCATGCCAGAGTTCTGTTCACAAATGACAGCTTAGATGAAATTGGGTGTTCTCTTACGAGAAAGCTATCTAGACATTGAGAGAACTAAAGATCATTTACAGTATATAGAAACAGGTTTTTGAAAAATATGCATTGTGGATTTAGAAATAATGCTGAACTAATTCATTAGATTACATTAAGCAACAAACAGCAGTGGATGCAAGCAGGGTTTCTGATATACAGATGGTGACCTTATTATACAGAAATCACTCCTGAATGTAGTGCCATTCCATTCACCATTTCCTAAATGGAAGTCAAAGAGATATTCTCAGAATTATCTCAGAAAAATCCTTAAGTAAAAATAAATGAAGCTGCTAATGGAAGGGCTATGTCTGCATCCTGAACTGCTGTTATAGAAAAACCGACTTTACTAAAGATAATGTGATGTCAGAATTTTCAAAGCTTGGGAGCTTGAAAATCTCCAGTTTCCAATAATTCTTTTAGCAGAAAGAGTATGTTATTACTATTCTATATTTGTCTAGAAGACGTATTTATCCAGGTAAGCCTACAATGTAAAATATTTAGACAAAGTGTAAATAGAAGGAAGAGTTGTTCAGGGTCAACATAATAACTTAAATGATTAAAATGACAGTGAGTTTAACACTACCCGGAAGAAAAACATGAAACATCAACAAAACAAAATATGATTAAAATTCTGTATAGAATGTGTGCATACAGTGTGTATAGAGTAGCACTATAAGCACTCTTTAGGCATACACAGTATTCCATATTTACAGAGAACAATTTGCAAATTACATTACCAGTTTCACAATTAAAAAAATAATGCAGCCTGTGCAATGCAGGTGTTATTGAGGGATGTAGTAGAGAGCGGAGTGAGAGATCACAGGTACGGCCTAAACGAAGTCGGAAAGGTGATCAGTAATTCGGCCATTCCGGTTCCTTAGGGTTGTTCATTCTGCCACTGAGGAGCGAGTTTGGAGAACGAATGGGCCGTGGAAGTCATCGTATAGAGACGGAGGCACAGAATAGGTGAGGAGTAGAAGAGACGTGGAGACAGTTAGGGTCAGTGCAAGAAGAGATAAGAGCACACAGAAGCCGAGGGGCTGAGACAGCTGTAAGCAGAACCTTTGGTTTTGATCCTGTTATGTGCAGCAATACAAAACCACTAGTGGGACTGGAGTAATGCGAGTACCGAGTGAAAAGCAAAGAGAAAAAAGACAGGGCGAGTCACAGAATTCTGGGAGAGTTGCAGTGATAGTTCAGATGGAATGGGGGATCAAGGCTGGGTTTTCCTTGTAGAAGTGTAATGCAGACCTATTAAAAACAGAGGGAAACCAGACCAGTTGTAAGGAGAGAAGGAAAGGGGAGAGGAAACACAAAAGAAGGAGGTCAAGGCAGCGCACCACAAGCCTGGAAGAGGTGAGTGGGGAGGGGTTCATCATGGTGGGTTTATTTTATAGCACTTGAGTGAAGGAGGAGAAGAGGGGAACACCACTGGGGGAGGTCGCAGAAGGAGGGGCGTGAGGAGAGCGAATAGGTTGAGGGTGGCTGGTGCTGAATGAGGAAGGAGGGGCTGAAGACATTGCGGATTTTGAGATTGAGGAAGGGGGAGGGGTAACAGCAAGGAGAGGGAAGAGTATGTGTCAGTAAGGGTCTCCCATCAGTGTATGCCTCCATAGGAAATGAACCTATTAATTTCTCTTTCTTCTCCCTTTCCTTGTGCAGGTCCCTGCCAGTTTATCTGGAGATGGCAGTGTAATGTGTCAGTTCAGAAATGCATGCTTCTGCTGGAAATGAGAGGAATGAATTAATTCCTGCATGATAAAACTTGCCAGAGACTAGGTTGTCTAAGGGCTTAGAAAGGGAACGAAAAGGGCACCTTGACTGATAAGTTTCACACTTATGTTTTATTCTCTTTTTTGTTCATCTACTCAGGTAGCATTAGCAAATAATAAGATGTACTTTTCTGTAGTGATACACTCAATTGATGGCATTCGTTGCTGCTAGATGTACTGTACTGTACCATGAATAGGTGGGTGAGTTGATGGGGGTATGGAGGGGGAATGTGGTGATCATCATAATTATGTTGTTAAGTCAGTGACAGTTTGCAGTAGGTCTTGCATTTACCATCTTGTCTTTAACAAGATTAAAATTGTATTAAAATGCAATATTTAATGTTTTTAGTACAGAAATGGTTAATTTCAGAAACAGCTTTGGTGACTGCGGTATGGAATTGGAGTATCACTGTGGTATGAAACTGATGCGAGCATAGAGATCGGTTTTGTGAGTTTATGTACTTCAGGTAGAAAAATATAAAGTAGACAGTATCTGTGACTCTTACATATGGTACCATTTTGTTTCAGCCCATAATAACATCCATGGTTGGGATTAAATCAAAACTCCAACCATCCCATCCAGTTCCCATTTCAAGGTCCAGTTTTGTGAGATGGGTGGATGCTCTGATCAGGGCTGTCATGTTCATTCCTTTGGAATAGTTTCATTTCCTTTTAAACACTCCACGGTGTTTTTGTTTGGTCTTTTTGCAAAAAGATTGGGTGTGAGTGAGAGTTCAGATCAGT